AAAATTAAACAATTTGTCTTAGCAATTGCAAAACAATGCAAAAATAAAAGATAGAAGATTTGGCAATTCTTGAATATATGCCAAGTTAGTGGCACATTAATTAGTCCAAATAATTTGAGCCAAATAAAAAATCCAATAATAACAATAGTAAAACTACTGTATAAATTTTAATAAAAAGAAAACACCATTTTTTAACATTATTCTACTTGAATTATGTTCTTGTTATTTTCTAAAAAATATGTTTCTCTTCATTTTTTTTCATAATCTTTAGCCTCTAATTTTATTGCTTTGAATTTAAAAAATCTCAAATAAACACTTACTATAATCTATGCTGAATTATTCCTTAATGTTAAGGATGTTTACTTTTATAATTAAAATTTATAGCTTTGTTATCCTTACATATTTCTGAAATTACTGTAATCTACTTTACTACATATTAAATATGATCAACTTTCTTTATAATAGTACTTTTTCATAATGAATGATCTAAAAATTTTAAAAATTTTATTTCTGTTATGTCTTCAATTTACAAATAAAAAATATAAAATATTCAAAATACAGAATGGTTTATAAAACACATTTTATAGAAAAAGAAATTTTAGAAATAAAAGAGATCATTATGCTAGTTAATATGTCATTAACAAGAATTACTAGTCTTTAATTAATGATTACTTAACATCTTATTGATATATGAGTCAAATCAATATTAATATTTTTTATTCAGAGTGAGTAGACCAGCAACAATATTTTTGCGAATCTAAAATTTTACTGCTTTTAATCTAATAAATTAATAAAATAATAATAATAATAGATCACTTAATTAAATATGAGACATAAATTTATAAAAACCTAAATTTTCAATTATGCAGAATCCTAAAAAAACTAATTTTATATATCACTGGATTTATTTTTAAGCATTATAGAAAGCTAGCAGCCTTATTTAATTTCTTTTTATATTTTTTTCATAATATAAATGCAAAATATACTAAAAAACATGTAATGCTAAAGCATTTTCTAAATACAATCTACTCAGTTTTCAAGCTTTATTTTTACATTTGGAATTCTTTAAATGATATCCACTTTCACATAAAATATTTGCTTTTTTACAAAAGCATTTTGCCATAAGGCAATCACCTCTGCAATTGCAATCTTTATTACTAGCAAAGGCATTAGATTGCAATCTTGCTGCCTCAACGATACTGATATTTTTATAAGTTAGAGAATTGTCCAGTTCAGAAAATTCTCTTGGCCCAAGTAGCAAGACTTCATCAGCTAGAAATGCTCTTTCAAGAACACCAAATCGGCATACAAGACAATACATATTATTGGGTAGTACTAAAAACACTTTACAAGAAAGTGTGCAATAATTACCAGGTTCATAGTCAATCTTTGCAATTTGTATTTTTACCAAATTGCCAACTTGATAATTATGTTCTTGAATGTTATACTTTGTATGCATTTGGCATTTCATCTTGGAACAATAATCTTTAAGATTCCTGTTTGCAACTTGACAGTAAATATCATGATAAGTTGGACTATTAGATGCTTCTTAAAAAGCAAAAAACTGATGTTTTTTGTAAGAAACAAAATCTGAATTAGTTATTTTCTTGATTTTCCTAATTATATGTATATAAGATCATTAAACTATAGTTAATAAACTTTAAAATAATTAAATACAGTAGAATTAGTGATGGGACTTTCAAACTTTTGTTAATAATAATAATAAAATAATTACTGTAATTAGTTAGATAATTTGATCATTGCTTAATAATTTTAAATTTTCTTAAATATTAATAAAATAGAGAAAGATACTACACTGTATATTATTTAAGTTATCATTCTTTTTGATTTAGTTGAATGATGATCTATATAATATTTTTGAGTCCTGTGATTACAATATGGTAATTATTTTAACCTTGTCATTTTTGTGTGACTCATTTAATAAATTTATTTATTTTTCTTTTTATCAATAAATGAGCTTCATAAGATACAATAAACATAAAATAATGATTCATGTTCTATTTGCAGGCTCATGGAACTTAAAAAATTAAATAGATTATTGATTTAATTAAATTAAAAGAGCAGTTCTATTACTAATTAGAATCATATAATTATATTATTACAACCTTGTCTTCTATGTGTTGTTCTTGATTATCTGAAATAATATTGTCATCTTAAGTATGTTGCTGTATTTGTTGATTATTACAAATAGTTTGTTGCATTAAAATCATATAATCATTTACAAATAGGTTGTTGCATTAAAATCGTATAATCATTAGCACTTTTATGAAGATTCTGTTCCTCAATTTCAAAACTAAAGAATTCATTTTCTTAAATAAAAAAGTATATTTAATTGAGTTAAATTTATAAATAAGTAAATGACTAAAACAAATAAAAAATTAAAACTAACTCAATTCTCTCATATATGAATTATTTCTTTTTAAATATACAGAGCTGTTAAAAATCAACCTCTGTATATCATTATCCATATTATTGAATGCTATTATCATTATACAAGCTGTTATTATAATGCAAGCCATTATTATTATCTGTATTCTCCAAATCTTCTTCACTTCCAACCATATCTTGAAACAAGTCCTTCTCTATATTAATATTATTTTGTTTTAATTCTTCAATTATATTAAACTAATGCAACAGATGTTGTTCAAAAACTAGTTCATATGATGTATGACTAGTAGGCTTGGAACAATGGATATTCATCATGTATATAACTATAGGAAGACCAATGCTTTAGTTTCTTCATTCATTATCTTTCATTCATATTGAAAGTGCATTTTTTAGAGTCTTATTAGAATTTTCTACTGACCTTTATGACTGTGGATGGTGAAAGCACTCATTAATTATATGGATCTTCTTCTATAAGCTAAGAAGTTCAAAAATTACTTTTGCTGTGAACTCTCTATCAATGTCACTTTGCAAAATATAAGAAGGCCCAAAGATGGTAAAAATTGAAAATAAAAATGCAGTAACTTCCAATGCCTCTTTAGTACATAATGGGCAGGTCTAGAAAAATCTTGTGAAATGATTATGAAGGTGTGCAATGTACTGATATTTCTTATCCAAGTATCTTTCAAAAGAAACAAGATCAACTTGTATGCAGTGTAAAAAGTCCTTTGAAACAATAGTTTTTTCAATAAAGGCCATGAGAAAATTTCTTGAATTATTATAATGAGAAACAATATAAAATAATTAAATAAAATAAAATAAATTAAACAAAAAAATAAGGCAATAAATTAAATTTTAATAATAAGTAATAATTTTATATTTACAACATTTACACCTTTAAAAGTGATTAACTTAATAATTTACCTTCATGTACAACATTGTGTATATCGAGAGATATACAGTTCGACAAATGATCTAGGGATATAGGCATATTGATTATTTATAGCATTATATATTTTTTTTGAACCAGAATGCTGGTGCATACTGTTATAAATTTTTCCAATAACATGATAAAGATTTTAAAATAGGCAAATTATACAATCTGATTCATTCAATTTATTTCTTTCCACAATCTGAAGAATTGGGTTTTGTAATGTTCTAAGATCACACAAGTAAAAATTATTTTTTGCCCAAAAGCAATCTTTTACAGTTCCAATAGATGAATCTTTAGAGTTCTTTAAAATTTGAATGATTAGGTCATAATCATCTTGTGTAATTATTGCTTTTCTTCATTGCACAGATTTGTGATTTGCAATAAATTCAGATAAAAGATGATTGAAAGCCATACAGGAAAGAAAAGAAAAATCACTATCTACATCCATAATAAAAGCTTTTTTTATTTTCTTGCAACACAGTTTAATATTTTAAAATCTGTAATTAGTTAAGTATCCTTAAAATTGTTTTGTTTTAAATTTTATTTTTTATTAACATATTTTTAATTAACTTTTAAATAATTACATCATTTTATGCATTGGATATTAATGACTGAAACAAATAAATTTAATTCTTGCCCTGATAATAAATTTTAACTCCCAGCTTGATATTAATTACATATAATACATATAATACAATTTTTATTGAATGTTCTATGAACACAAGGTGCTAAACATCATAATTTCTAATCGGGGTAACCTGTTTACAGATTCCAAATTCGGCCACCCTGATTTTGAATCAGGATAAACTGATTCTGAATTGGACGAATTCCAAATTCAGATACAACATATATATTTATTATAAGCTACAAAAAAAAAGATTTAATTGTTAAAAAACAATTAAAAAATCCAACAACAAAAAATATTCAAATATTTGTCATCATGTATCTTGCTATTGTAATATTTGTAAAGGCAATCTTGTTGATTTATAAACTAAAAAAGCCTATATGAGACAAAAAACCACTATAACAAGAAATATTAATGATATTGTTGAACTTTCAACAAGCAGAACTAATATTATTATTAATCCAAACATTGTTTTTCCTGAAATAAAGTTTTCTGAAATTGATATTTTGAAGAAATCTATGCATATCAATAGTTCTAATAATGATTTTGTAATATTTATATGCTTTAAGAATTATAGTTTTATAACTAAAAAAAAAGGCAAAAAACTGGTTAATATTAGAAATAGGATCAGTTTCTCATTATCTATTAAAATTGCTAATATTTTATTTTTAGATAAAGAAGTTGTAAATAAAAATTTTAATAAAATTTCATCTAATAAAGAAAATTTATCTAATCAAGATATTGATTTTAATGTGTTAGTATTAAAATTAAAAAATATGAATAGTCAAACAAAATCTATAGATTTTAATAATAATTTTATATAAGTTACTCTATAGATTCTCAAACATCAGAAAAGATTTTGGCTATCTGATATGGCTTCTAATTCTTTTATTAAACTAATTTGGTATCTTCTAACCTATTTTTTTTTTCTCTTAAGCAGTTATGATAGTACTTTATTAAACTATTTGTAGCTACATATGTAAATACAGAATATCATTTAATTTATAAGTCTACTATCATCTGGCCACCCAAATGGTATCTAAATGCAACCTGCCACACTAATCCAGTTAGGACTAGAAATTATGACTCATCTGACCTCTGCCCCACAATAGGATACTATCAATCTGGAGACATCTTTTCATAAGGAAGAAAAAAACAAAAAAAAAAGAAAACAATTTTAAATTTGAAAAAGAGTAGAACAAAAATAATAAGTAAAATAAAACTAAACAAAAAGAAAATAAAACTAATCTATAAGGAGAATAAAGAAGGAAACCTGTTAACAGAATAAAACTTTATTCTATGATTGCTACTCACTACAATGTTTTCATATTTTTATAGACTATAGCTATTCTTTAGAAACTAGGTACTCTTAACCAAAATAAAAACTGTATTTACTTGTAGGACAGAGTTTGAGCTGAGCACTTTCTATATAAAAGAAATCTTCAAGTAGATGAAGTACTGTGTCAAGGTTTGAAGTGCACTTAAGCAGTCCAATTCTTCATAAACCTCCGTAACTCTTTTTTTAAAAAATATTATATATATGTCTTGAAATATATGCATATTTCAATATATTTTTGGTCTTTTCAAATTAAATTCTTTTCCGATTTGCTCCACATGATTGGCTAACTCATGTGTTTGTTATGTTCTTTATTTGCCATGTTTAAACAAGCATATAATTGCAAAAGAAAGTAATGCACAATGTTGATTTTTTGATAAATCTTCATTTTTTTTAAAAAAAAAAACAAAAAAAAAATAAAGAGAAGGTATATCATTGTTGCAAGGATTCAAGTTAAGAAGAGTTTTCCTAGTTGTTCTTTTTTTTCTTCTGCTTCTAATATTCTTAACCAAAGAACTGATTTTGTCTCTACTTGCTTTCAAAATATTCTTCTAGCTTGGATGCCAAATATGTAAGAAAGTTCATTAGACAAAAAGCTTAACCCAAGGCAAGAACTACTTAAGTTTCATCTGCTCTTTAGTGTATCATATACTTGAGTTTTGTTGATAGCAAATTTACTTAATATAAAACTAAAAATATTATTCACTTTGAAGCCAAAGTCTTCAATCTACTTTTAGTACCAACTTGGTCCAGATGATTATTAGAAAGAGTGTTGATAAATTTTTTTTTCTAAACTATTTTAATGCAAATAAATATTCTTTTTTTTCTACTTTGTTAAATAAGGCATGCAATGCTCTTGGTGTCTGCATTTACATAATTAATATGCAATATATGAAAAATGTTGTAAATTGTATAATGTTGCTAATCTGTCTACTAACAAACTAAATTTGATATCTAAAATAAGTCATTGTATTTATTAAAAATTTTCTAACGATTCAATAGCCAATTAAAGATTTCTATACAATTATCCTATTGTTAAAAAAATTTCAACATCAAAAAAAGAAAATATATATAGACTAGTATTAATCTATCTAATAGTTTCTTTAAGCTATTAATTGAGATCTTTGTATAATAAGAAAGAATTTAAAAAATCTTGTAAAAAATAGGTTA